AAGTCCACACATCTTAAAGTTGCCAAGGTTGAGAAACACTGGTGTAAAGGCTGGCCAATAGTTTGGAAGATCCAGGTTTTACAAAGGCAAGTTGGTGAGGAGCAGAGAATTACAGGCAATGGTGGCTTATTGGAAAAAGCTAGTCTTGCTCCCAGGCTGGGTCCCCTTCCCCTGGCACCTTCCCCCAGAGTCCCAAAACTCTGTTCCCATTAATTGGCCCCACCCTTTCTCCCTAGCCAGAAGCTCAGAAGCTCTCCGCCACTTTCTCGTAATTCTTTCTAACCAATCCGGCTAAGCAGTCTTTTATAAAACACACACGCGGGCCGGGAATTAAACTTGCGATCTTCAGCTTGTGAAGCCCATGATTTGTCTCTGAGCTATGCCCCCCCTTCCCCCAAAAGGCTGCACCCAACGTCTGGGGAACAGCGCCATGGCGAGCTCAGATTCTGGCGCTGATCATGAGCGGCCTGCTCCAGAGTTACCGGATGAACTGCCACCTGACGACCTGCAGGCAGCTGCTGCGGGTCTCTGAAGATGTTGCTGCCTCCACTCGACGCCAGGGCTGCCCCCGCAGAGAAGAGAGCAGAGCGTGTGTGTTACTTGGGCCCTTCTTTTCAAGGACCCACGATAAAACATGCAACCGTTTCTCGCCGGTGTTTGTACGGCTTTGGTCTGGAACAGGGCAAACGGATCCAGATCTGGCAGTGAAACGGTGAGCCTCGCTGGTTGTAGGCATGCCGGCCGTACACGCAAGCTGACATCAGATGCATTCACAAAGAGGAGAAAGACGGGGAGTAAAAGGTAAAAACCAGACCTGTAAGAAGATGGTCAGAATTCAGCAGCTGACTTGCAAATGAAGATCACTGAACGAGCCTGCTATGTATATTTATTTCTGTTTTAAAAAAAAATCTCTTGTCAAAGCTTTTCGGTCAACTTCCTTTGACCCAACCCTGATTCGCCCTCAGCAACTGAGGAAACAACAAGTACTAAGTCAGTGTTTCTCACCCTTAGCAGCTCTAAGATATATGGACTTCAACTCCCAGAATTCCCCCACCCCCCATGGTCGGTTGGGGGATTTTGGGGGTTGTGGTCCTTTAAATTTTTAATTTTCAAAGTTGGGTAAATTTTTT